TCTCAGGCAGATGCACTCCGACTTCGAAGGAAGCTCCCTATTAGTCGACTCCTACGACATGCTTTTGGGTAGGCAGTGGCTCTATTCTACTAAAAGTGTCGTAATATTCTGTTTACTGTTTACAAAAAAGAAACGCATAGTTATCCGATGGCGCGTTTTTATTAGTTTTAAATAAAATATCGTATTCGGGTATGTGAACAGCAGACTCAAATGTTGTTTACAGCGTCCAGTGGACATGTGGGCGTGAATTGCGTGAGTTTTTGTAAAGATGCAGATTGTCAAAATTATGAGTGTGTATGTTCCTTTCAGTAGCTTTGTTTTTCATTTTGGACAATATTAATGGAGGTGAGGAGGTGTGTGTTGTTCGTGTCCCGTTGTTTCAGTGACCCCCAGACTTCACTTGCGATGGTTTGTATAAGCTTTTATTTAACTGGCGATTGGTGTTTGATTCTATAGTCAGAACATTGTGGTTTTTGTAATCGTTACAACGCAGTGGTCATTTGTGTGTGAGACCATATATGTAGGCACTGCTCATAAAGCGCGAACGAAAAAGCAACACAATTTGGGATAAACACTATTCATTGCCAGCGCAATTGAAACTTTTTAAAAGGATAATGCAACACCAAAACATTCAGTTCATTTTCAAGAAGTTACGAATGGTGCCTCTATCAATAAATCTAAGGAATATTGCTTTTTGGCCGATTGCAGGCAGGAGTCAGGTTGTCAGGCATCGAAACATGAATCAGAGTACCATCAGTCGACTTTGGCACCGGTTCCAGGCCACTGGTTCGGTTGAAGATCGATATCACAGTGGACGACCCGGAATGACAACAGCAGCGGAGAATCGCTCAATTCGGCTTTGTTACATCAAAGACAGGTTTGAAACAGCTTCCTCAGCTGCGCAGGCGTTGCTCCCAGGACGTCATGTGTCAAACTGTTCGGAACAGACTTCGTTGAACTTTGGGCTCGACGACCATACCAAAGACCTGTCCTTACGCGTCGCACCTCCAAAATCGACTACTTTGGGCCAACTAACATCGTCCCAGGGCAGGTGACAATCAGTGGAGACGTATCTAGTTTACATACGAATCTTTCTTTTTGTTGCAGCGTCATGATAGATGGCGTAGGGCCTGTCGTAGGCGAAAAAAAAAGGTTTAGCTCAAAACTCTGTTGATGAAGCTCTGTTGCACGGTGGTGGAGGTTTAATGGTGTAGGGAATGATCAGCTACAAAGAAAGAAGTCGAATGGTGTACATTGAAGGAAGCCTGAATGCGCAACCATATGTCAGTGAAATTCTTCGACCACGTGTCCTTAATTTTGGGATGCTAACTGATATCTTTTTTCAACAGGACAACGCCAGACCCCATTCTGCACAATTGACCACGCAGTTCATGACTGCCAATAACATTCAAACCCGTCCTTGGCCATCCTACAGACATGAGTCCGATTTAGCACCTATGGGATGAGCTGCAAATACGCGTTTGTCGCCGAGACGTTGTTCCAGCCAGTGGTCGTGATCTGTTCCAGAAACTCCAGGAAGAGTGGGTAGCAATCACATAGGTGCACATCAGACTACTGATCGCATCCATGCCCAGGAGATGCCTGTCACTGATCCACGCAATAGGAGACCACACACCAAACTAACGGAAAATGCCTTACACCTAAACATTATCATGACCTAGATGCAAACAAAAGCGTCAATTGACTGGTGGAACCCTAAGGTATTCTTGTGTGAAATTTGAGTAATTTCACTTACTGCATTACAAAGATGCAGATTGTCAAAATTATGAGTGTGTATGTTCCTTTCAGTAGCTTTGTGTTTCACTTTGGACAGTATTAATGGAGGTGAGGAGGTGTGTGTTGTTCGTGTCCCGTTGTTTCAGTGACTCCCAGACTTCACTTGCGATGGTTTGTATAAGCTTTTATTTAACTGGCGATTGGTGTTTGATTCTATAGTCAGAACATTGTGGACCAAATGTAAAGTATTTCGTGGTAAGCTATCGAGCTCACATTTTGCCCACACACCCATTGTGAGTGACAATATAAAATGGTAAAATATTATTTCGTGAACTTTTGTTTTCACCAATAAGTTGTCGTTGTTGTTTTGATGTTTGTTGTTGTTGTTCTTCTTCTCCTTCTCCTCGTCCTCCTTCATTCTCACTTCATTAGGATTTAGTGTCTGATAATGACATTTATACACAGACATACGTTCGCACGCCATCACTAAAACACTTACAGGGGCAGAGGCGAGGATAATATATCACAGACAATTACAACTTAACATCAGTATCTCTCATTCATTGTCTGTTTGTTCATGATGTATATATATATTTATAGTACTGTCTCAAGAGTTTCCCCATCTGTTTATTTCTGCACAAATCTCTTTCTCGAATGTTCATTGTAAGCATTGCGCTCAGTGTTTTTATAATTGTTGTTGTTTTTGTTTTTTCTATCTTTGGTTGGTTAATACAAATGTTTGTAACTCATGGTGCCATTTCAATGGCTTGAGACGAACTCTGCCCGTATCCAATAGCTGTGGACTCAAGCTGTATGAAAGACATGGCTAATGAAGACACCTTTATTGGTAATGCCTAGCTGGTCATGCGTCTTAATACGCTTGCTTCTGCAGCGATGCGCATTCGTCGTTTGGGGGCTATATGCTCCATTCTCAACACAGTAACTACAGTGGGAAACCCTCAATCCTCAGTAAGACTAGAGATTGTTATCTGTAGGCAAACAATAATATCCTAAGCTAAATAGTCCGTGACGATGTCACTAACCTAAATCTTCAGGCTCAAAGAGCTCCCAGACTACAGCCCCAAAGGGGTAAATACCTGCAGTAATGGCATCCCTCCACGCTAAAGTGAACACTAAAGTACGGTGAGTCGCTATAAGTGGTCACTAAAGTACAGCTAAACGCTACAGGTGAATCGACTGTGAAAAGAGCTGTATTGTGGAAAACAGTAACCAAAATAAGACACACTATAGCAATATATGTTGCAGTAGCTCAAAAGATGCTGATTTCAAAAATAAGAATGACACAATTTTCAGACATAATAAATAATAATATAGTCATAATAAATACACCTTATATTTACAACAACACAAAACCTACCTCTCTGGTGAATTAATGACGGGTAGAAGACGTCCAGGTCAGTCTGTACTACAATTTAAAGATGTACGCTTATGGAATATGAGTGATACAGTTATTAAGGTTATTCATGCGAACAGGATGTCATGAATTGTGTGGGATGGGGTTGGGAAATCTCAAGAAGGGATTAGGGACAAGGGAAGAGGACTGCAGACAAGTTTGAGACTGAACGGCTGAGGAAAACAAATTTGTCATATTGATGAGATGGCAACAGTGAACCTAAAATCCCATCCTTATGCTGAGGATAACGTTTCTAATCGCCATCAGGTTTTACTAGTCACACTCACTATTGCTGTCGGTTGCCATTCCCGCAATTCTTTACAGCGGACGGGAAGGTGCCAGCCAGCTACTGAAACACACGAATACAGTGTCGTCGGTTGACATGAACTTCCATATGCAGATGTTTGACTCACTCTTAAAACTTAAAGACAAAGCAAGATATAAATATAACCAAACTGCTAAAGGTACCAGAGAAGTGGAAGTACTTTGGCCGCTAAAGATTGGGACAGTGCGCATATGAGAATTTCGTGGGTGCCATAATGTCGGTTCTTAACTCACAAGGACACTAATATTTTTTTTGTTTTTAACCTTAAATATTAAACAAAGGTTTAAGTCAGTGGAAACCACGACCAATGTTTTTTTTTTTTTTTAAATGACTCCACGTGTACAAATGCCAGGTGTTCAGCAATGCAATAATGTTTTATCACATCTAAGTAAAATAAAGCAGATAGACACAGAGTATGGTAACAAGGGATTTCGATGCAAATTATACAAAGCATTTTTGTTTTTAATGTCTCCATGTGTACAAATGCCAAGTGTTCAGCATTGTAATAATGTTATATCACGTCTAAATGAAATGAAGCAGATAGACACAGAGTACGGTAACAAGGGATTTCGATGCAAATTATACAAAGCATTTTTGTTTTTAATGTCTCCATGTGTACAAATGCCAGGTGTACAGCAATGTAATAATGTTATATCACGTCTAAATGAAATGAAGCAGATAGAAACAGAGTATGGTAACAAGGGATTTCGATACAAAATATACAAAGCATTTTTGTTTTTAATGTCTCCATGAGTACAAATGCCAGGCGTACAGCAATGTAATAATGTTATATCACATCTAAATGAAATAAAGCAAATAGACACAGAGTACGATAACAAGGGATTTCGATACAAAATATACAAAGCATTTTTGTTTTTAATGTCTCCACGTGTACAAATGCCAGGCGTACAGCAATGTAATTATGTTATAACACGTCTAAATGAAAAGAAGCAGATAGATGTCTGTGATAGATGAAAACTTCGTGTATTTTGCCCTCTTCTCTCTTTGTTACCGATACTTATTTGTGTTTAAAATAAATCTGATAATACTAGGCTATTCACGCGCCGAATACTGTATTAGCAAAATACACACACATCTGCAACATGGGAATTCAATGGCAGAAATCATAAAAGCATCATGATAACCAGTTTTTTTATTTTTATTTATTGTCAAATGTGTTTCCAAAAAATGACCATTTTAAAATAAGTTTAGAGCCAACAGCACGGCACTGGGAACATTCCTAAAACCGATCCGTCCCCATCTTGAGAAGCCCCTTCCTACGGAACCCTTACGCCTTGACTTTTGAGTGCATTCTTCTCTCTATATTTCCTCGTTTTTCTTGCTTCGCTCCTCAAGACGACATCGAGCTCAGAGTTGGCACTCCATCCCTCCGACAATCGTTCTTTTTATGGTTATCTTGTAGAAATACAGAATTAAAACTATCATTGTGATGGCTGAATTAGGGGGAAAAAATGTAAACTTGTTAGCAGTTAACCGTAAACTTTATCTAAATGGTCAAGTTCTTCAATCATAGATAGTATGGAGACACGTCTCGTCTTCATCGTCATCCTGACAGCCTAATGTCTCTCTACACCGGCTATCGTTTCTGTAAATGTTAGGGTTACCATCGTCTTTCTCTTCCTCCATCACTGACGATGTCCTTCTGACATCCACTGTTCTGTCAAACTTTACTTTAGCTTCATCATTTAAACTATATATGCTGCTTTTACTGGGATGTCGATTTCTATCTCGACAATTCGTACTGTTCGTATCAACACAATAATCAGGATCACTTAGAAAATCCAATGTCCCAGGTAAATGTTTCTTTTCCGGACAGAATACCCTGTCTACACTGAAGCTTCCCAGACTATCTGCTAAACAGACATTGTTGTTTCCAACACATTCTTTATCACCAGGAACTTCTGAAAAGCTATCAATAACAGCATCGACGTCATTTCCTGTTAGGCGGGCGGCCATGTACTGCAGCGTCTTAATCACGGGATTCTCTGCTGGTTTATGGTGACAGTTGGAACTGTTGTCTTCTGTCCCGTTTTCGTGATCTTGTAAATCTCTCATCCGGGGTTGATCAAATAAATCCATTCCAAATTCAAATCTGATCTCATTGTCTTGGTTATCAACATGGGCGTCTTCTTCTACGCCATCGTCGCCCGCAAGAAGCCTCATGCCATGTAGCACGTCCAAACGCTGGGCCTCGTTGTCGTCCGGTCTGTCTTTAATAGAAGGCATGGCGAAATAGAACTTTTCCCAGAACCAGGGGTCACCGTACTTTAGATATGTGTTAGATTTCATGTGAACCTGTGGTATATGGTTAAAAAAAATGATTAGACAAACCACAATACCTCAACTTAAATTATTTCCGTCAGGAAGAGGGCAATTATCACACTAAAAATATGTGTATGTGTTTCAAAGAAGCAACATGTATAATTCATGCGTAAACATAGATAGGATTGCATGCTAAAATATCTTGCCAGACATTTGGTATTATCAGATCAGATCGTAAAGATACATTGTTTGTTGTTTTATATGCACTGGGATGGTTTTATTAGACAAAGCGCGTTGCTTTGAATCGAAATGATTAACAATTCCTTTAAAATCAATGATGTGAAAGGCACTGTTGTATTGCGTGCAATTTGCAAGCGTTTTATGTATAATAGTTTCTGGCATTAAGACCAGGTTTTCCACTTACAAATATTGCTCTTCACAGAAAAATGTGTGTTCTGAATTATAAGGTTGACTGCAGTTAGAGCAAATCACCCATAAGAAAGTGATTAGCCTTTTTTTTTTTTTTAAATAAGGCTTTTGGTAATCGCTACCTTTATTTTGCACGCAGCCTAGAGACAAGTCCTCGCCTCCCATGGCGACCCAGCCTTAAATGGGCCCTAGGCATTAAAATAGCCAAAACTCAGGTGTAATTGCTCACCACAAGGAAGATAAATAAATAAGATAGCAAAGGAACCGTCCTTGAAAAAGCAGGCCATCAGGCGGCTAAAAAAGGACTAAGCTTGGAATTTTTGTTTCATTTTATACGATACGATACGAAAATAGTCAAACACATGTGTGCTCAAACCTACTGACTGAATGGTGCAGAAACGTGGACAATAAAGATGCACGTAGAAACTCGAACTGAGTCTTTAGAAATCTTATACAGAACGAATAGGTCGTAGTTCAACTACAGAAGTTTTGCAGAGACAATTAATGAAGATAAAGTTACTGAACGAAATTGAAGAGGGAAAAAGCAACAATTCAAATAACGTAGCCACATTAAAAGACATAACATTCGTTTGAAAGCCACACTGAAAGGAATGGCCAAAGTCAAGAGATCAACGTTACAAGTGGAAGTACAACATCAAGCGTGTTGGATATCCGTTGCAGCCAACCTTAAGTATGGAGACGGCACCTCATTGGCCGATGTTTGCTGACAACAATCATTGCCACCCATAAAGCCTAGATCATAAACTGTTCCTTTCCACGGCGCTTAACGACAAAGCTGGAAACTGATGATGATGTTGATGATGATGTTGATGATGAGATGCTGTTGTTGATGATGATGTCGATGATGATGATGATGATGATGATGATGATGATGATGATGATGATGATGATTATGATGATGATGATGATGATGATGATGATGATAATGATGATAACTATGATGATGATAATGCTGATTAATAATGATGATAAGCGGTGAGTAGTAGGGTGGTAAAACAGAAGACATACCTTGAGGTCAGGGTCTAGCAAATTTTCAGGGATGTCCTCTAGAAGAATGATGATGAGTCTGTGGTTGCCTTGACTCAAGATGTGATGATGAGCGGTCTGTGACGGAGGACAGAATCATTCCAGTGTTTTCAGTAAATGCAGTAGCAAGGAAACTTACGGCTGCCTGCTTGTAAGTCTGACTATTGGTCTATATACAAGGTTCGACAGTTATGTAATTAGAGGGATTTATTATGGCCAAGACAAAAATTGTATATATGAAGCAAGGTGTGGAATCTAAAGAAGCTTTATTCACCTATGATCTGGCAACTTTTCATCGCCGCTCGATAAGCAGACAACAAACAAACCGCAATTTTCTTGACCTAGTCAGAGGTGCATTGTTATGTAATCAGCACAGAGAAAAAAGCTAACATTAAATACTTTTTAAAACTCAGAAAAAGCTTCATTGAAACAGTATAATCGATGCAGCAAGTTTATGGGGATAATTGTTTATCTCGTGCACAAATTTCCAGGTGGTATTCACGATTCAAAACTGGTGTGGAAATGAATACTAATGCACCTAGACCTGGACGCAAAAATTTATGATAAACTTATTGCAAAACTCTGAGAACGGATACAAGAAGATTATTGTTTTACTGTGAAGACGATGGCACAGGAATCTGGTGTTGATAGGAGACCATTCATGACATTTTAGTGCAAGATTTTGGCAAGAAAAAAGTTGCTTGCCGCTTTGTACCACATTCGTTGTCTCATGACCAAAAACATCAGCGGGTTAAGTACATAAGAGAATCATCAAAACAAGAATTTTTTGTTCTCAGCCTTTCACCCTATTCTCCAAATTTGTCTCCCTGTGATTATTTTCTATTCCCAAAACTAAAGTTACGATTGAAAAGAACGCTTCTTTAACGATATTGATGAACATGCAAAGGGCCGTAACATCGACTTTAAGGGAGATAACAACAGACGAACTGCAGAGGTCGTTCCAGTGTTTGTTAGATCGTGCCACTACTGTATAAATGCTCAAGTGGCTTACTTTGAATCAGATACAGGTTATATCTTCAACTGTTGATTATTTTAATTTTTATCGAATGAGTCTCATTTCTTAATTGTTGGACCCTGTATTCATTTGTGTCTTTATCTACATCTGTTTATCAGTATGCTTGTGTGTCTGACTGTTGGTCATCTGTCCATCCACCATGTCATTCTTTAATCTGTCCGGCTCTTTGTCCATTTATTCACCCATCCATCAGTCTTCCCCCTAGCCCTTTTGTTTTTAAAAAATCTGCCCGTCTGACTATCCTTTTTTCTTTTATCTGCCCATCTATCCACTCATTCCTCTGTCCAGCTGTCTACATGCTCGTACATGTGTCTCTTTGTTCATTTATTTACTAACATCTCTACTTCCATTATTCCTTTCCTCCTTCTGTATTTTCCTCATCTGGCTGTCTGATCACCGAATGTCTGACCACTTTCTTTTTCTTTCTTCTACTCTTGAAATGCCTCGCGGCGTCATGGCAGCAAGAGATCTAATCGAACGAGCCCTTCTATTGTCCTAGTATAAAGTATCTTTCAATGTCTCTGATATTTATGCAGTCCATATTCTGCGTGGTCGACCTCTGGTTCTGTTAACGCTGTATCTGTATAACATCGCTCTCTGTGGTGCCCTGTCGGATGCCAGTCTTGTTACATGGCCAAATCATTTGATCTGTTGTCTAACTATAAAGTTCAGTATTGGTTATGTGCCGACTCTGCTCCTGCTCCTGGTACATAATATAACCCTTGACCCGTTAGGGTCGTGGAGGTGAATTGGTTCGCACTAGCATATAAAACCCGCCATCTTTCAATGTCTTTCGCTTGATGAATGAGTGTATGATAACTTTGTCCTGTCCATTTCCCTAATGTTGTCCTTCCAGGTACTTCTTTGCCTTCTCTTTTTCGACTACCACCCCCCTCCCCCCAGTGTTCCTTGAAGTACAGTCTTTGCAATCGAATCATGTCTCACCACTAGCCACTGCGGAGCTATGCAGTCTACACCAACTGCTGCATGTGAAATCCAAACAAATGTGGAACCCCTCGGGTTGCGGAGAGAAAAAGCCACTTTAGAAATTTATGAAAGATGCGATAGAAAAAATCGTAACCATCCTAATAGACATCTTGTAGACAACTGGGAATACAAACAAAGAATAAAGCACAAATCGGTTTTACATTGTGTTAATGAAATTCAGGACAGATACCACCTCCCAGAAAGACGTCAAGGAATTCAGAATGTTGCAAGAAACCTACCACCACATGCTCGCTTTAAAGCTCCAGAAGTCCGAAATAAATTGGTAGGCGAGGAAACCAAACAGTCCGACTCAATCGCTCTTATGAAATCATCACTAAAGACCGTTGATTCTTACCCCCAAGAATGGATACATGTCTATACTGATGGATCAGCATTTAAAGCTACCATTAAAGCAGGTTACGGAATCTACATAGGTTATCCCGATGGATCTGTTGAAGAGATTTTTGATGCATGCGGGGAATTCTGTTCAAATTATGAAGCTGAAATAATTGCACTAGAAACAGCAGTATACCACATAAAGACAGTAATGGATGTTTACCCTTCAAAGGTCCAAAATATTGTCATCTTCACAGATTCAATGTCTGCCCTTCAAGCTCTGGAGGGCAGTGAACGCTGCAGAACTGACATAGCCAAGATAATCCTGGATGCTGATCAACTTATTACCTCATACAACATCAGAATAGTGATGCAGTGGATTCCAGGTCACTCCGGCACACCAGGTAATGACAGAGCTGACAGATTGGCAAAGAAAGGAGCAACACAAGAACAACCACCTACAGCGACAACCCTCCAGACAGCAAAAACACTTATAAAAGCTATAAACAAAGAGACTTGGTTGAACAGATAGGCCATGGGAGACACTGGAAGAGAAGTTTATAGACATATGGCTGGCCCCGATCCTAATGACAGCATTAACCATCTAACAAGAAGGGACCAGGCCACCATCTTCAGACTTAGAACGCAACATACTCCACTCAATGGACATCTAAACAGAATACAGCCACAACACTCCCCAGAGTGCCAGCTATGTAACTACCCCTACGAAACTGTTGAACACCATCTCTTTGAGTGCCCAAAACTCAGTGAGACAAGAAGAACGCTACTCACTCAGAGACCAGACAATTGGAACACCTTGTACGGAAGAAAAGAACAGCTTGTGAAAACATGCAAATTCCACTACATGGCATTGGGCCAAAGGGCGAAAGCTCATGCGCCGCTGGATCGATAACAATTCACCACTAGCCCAAACCAAGCTAGCTTGCGACGTTTCCCCACTGCCAAGAGAGGCTCCTGATGTCCCGCAAATTTGTATATTTTGTCTCTGATATATTTATTAGTTTAGTATTCTAAATAACTAATTCGCAAAAATGCGAAATATTCGAAATCCTGAATCCTCCTTTCCATTTTCGTATAATAGACCATACCAGAGATTTGCAAATTTTGACCTTGACCGCGATGCTGATTTTGCTCTTCAACATTGTATTCAGCTGCGACATCGCGGCTGTTGCCATATCAAGTTGCCATATTTGCTCCTGATATCGTTCCTAAGTCGATCTTTCCTCATTCACCTAGAAGAGTATGTCAAAATGTCATTTCTATCGTGTCTATTTTCCTTGTCTTCTGAAGTCAGTGTGCATGTGTTGACATTGATAGCATAGCGTCGGTATGAATACTGTGTTAAACAGTGTTCTTTTAGTGTTTATATTTACGTGCTTGCATTTCAGAATTGGTGCCATTGGGCCAAAAACTTTATGGGCTTTATTGCATTTTTGCTGGATTTGTTTAATGATTCTTCTGTCTTCTGAAGCAAATGCTACCCAAATATGTAAAAATCCTTCGCCTGCTTTATCTGGTCTTCACCAATTTTCATACTGGTGGTTCCTCCGTTTCTAGAGAATGTCATCACTTCTGTTTTGTCTATGCTGATCTTCATATCATAGTTGTCGCATTGTATGTGAAGTCTATTAATATGTTCTGGCCACTTTGAGATGACAGAATCCCAACCTAGATGGATAACCAACAAGGTAACTCACAGTTACCCATAACGCTACACCGGCTTAGTTTAACTGGCAGTCTAGTGCGAGTAACAAGTAAATAATGACTTCTATTCATCTAACTATCATTTGTTTTCTATGTACCTGAAACTCGAACCGACACCACTCGCTGTTGAGAAAATGCACGGACAGAATCAGCACAGTCCTGCTGGAGTTCTCGATGGCCCTGCAAATGGTGTCTGTGATGTTTCGTCCCACTGGAAAATCCCGGTAATGGATGCACAAGCGATATCTGAGGATGAATTAATTCACAAATACGAATACTGGGTATTTGACCTGGGCGCGAACAGTCTCTTACAGAAGTCGCTGTCGTTTCAATAGTTCTAATCAATTCATTGGTTCTTTCGTAATATCCTACCCCCAGATGACGTCACAGGACAGTTCAAAATTTTAGAGGGTAGTAGGACTGGGTTTCCCGGTTTTCTGATGCTTTTAACGATCCCAAAACATCTGGAACTGGCCCTAACACCAACCCACATACGTCCCGCCGAGAGAGTGAAGCCTATCTACCACCCCCTGAAATATTAGACTGTCCCATCACCTGTGGATTTCCCCTGATGGGGTAGGATATTAATGAAGCGCTGACTCATTCATTTGCTGGACTGAAAGGCATCCTTTGCCACACTGGACCTTTTTTAGCCTATGAATTTCTTCGGGCTTTACCTCTTCGACGATCAAAAATCAGAACGCTGATCCTCTTTGGTGCATGTCAAAAGTGTTGCGGCCATCTTTAAACTATCATTATGGCGTCACTATAATTGTCTGCATCGTGATGTAAAATGCTTATCACACTTGACATCCTTAACAACAGTATTGACAGATTACAAGACAGTAGCTTGGTTGCTTCAATTGTTAATCATACTTTTAAGGTTTTAAATTTAACCATTGTAGGTTGGCTAGTTCTGGACATACAAACGATCTCTTTTTATGGTCCCCTGGGGGCGAGTGGGTAACGTTGTGGTACAAATATAGCATCCAAGTTTAAAGAGAATTATGCAGCAGGGAGTGAGTGATCGGGGAATTATCCCAACACTAAACTAACAGGAATGTCAGGACTGGTGTCAAATTGCTATTGGTGCAATTAACATTGGAACTCTTTTCAGGCTGCTGACGATGAGAATGGAGCGTTTGTGACTGCTATGATGTCGGATCTTAACTTAGCTGAACCCAACTTGTTTGAAAAACTGGCTCAAGTTATCTTCGGTAGTTTGAGCTCTTCAAAGACACTGTCAGGTTCAAGGGCTGCTAAGGATACACATTTTCAAGCCAAAGTATGGCTGTGATTTGGATAGTTCGCATCAGGCTAATATAATGTCTGGTTCGAATCCCTAAAGTATCTGGAAATTCTTAAAAGAACCAGGATTGTCTGATAAAATCACACGTTCCTTTGATCTTTTGGGCAGTAAGAAGGGACACCTGATATTGTCGGATAAGAGTGAAAAACTAATATTCCGGTGTGTAATTTTTCATGAAAAATAAAATTCCTTTCAGTGATGAACAACAATGGCGACTACACAAAGGAAGTCAGAAAAAGACGCTGTAGCAGCACAGAGGCCAAACAGCACAAGCAACCTATGGCACAGCACCTACAGGCGAGTTATAGTAAATATTTTCAGATCATGCATTTTTCCTGTGGACGAATGCTCATTCTTCGAAAAAAAAACCAGAGCTTTTGAACTGAAATGCTACAGACACATTCTCACAGAACCGTGATAAAAAAAAAAAAATGCTACAGAAACTTTCTAACAAAAAATAAATGTGGGTGGTGGGGGTAAGGGAGACGTCGATATCCTGCGTGACTTGAACATCAAGGGAAACTTATTCACAAACAGCATCATGTCACCAAAGCTGAGGTATTCTGGACAAGCCAAGAGCAGTGGTCGTCTAGAGAAAACAGTGATGGAGCGTGAAGCCTCCTGAAAACCTTCTGCAACCCAAAGAATAAATGAATATTAGGTTCAAATACAAAAAAAAATATGCCGTGTATGAGGCAGGTATTCTTTGTAATCACATACATTACGAAACTCCTGAAATCGTATTTGTAAAGAAGAGAAGCACAAGACCATTAATAACACCCAGGTAGAACGAGAAAGCAAAAACAACAGCAAAGAAGAAGAAATGTGAATACCAGGCACGGAAGAAAAGTAAAAATCAAGATGATGATGATGAAAATAGCACGGAAAAAATGCGTAGTAAATAAGATGGCCGCCCGTGTGTCACCGGGGCCCTCACGGGAAGCAAAGAATTGTGACACTGCACCCTACCAGGCATGTCGTAAGAGGCGACTAAGGGCAGGGTTGGGCTTGAGGTTGGCTACCTGATCCCGTAAAAACCATAGCCACAAAAACCAACCAATCATGGATAAGTCAAAAATAGAAGCAAGTAAAATCCAGCCAACCAAGATGAGGGGAGGCTCTTCAAATAGAAGAAGTATGACACGGTGTGGAGAAAGCCGTAAGGAGTCCAGATCGTTGACGTACCTCCTTTCAGCTAGGAAAACCTCCAGAATTGGCACCTGGAATGTTAGAACTCTATGATATAGGGAGAACAATGGAAGAAGCAAAGGAAATGAAACATTATAGAATTAGTATTTTAGGGTTATGTGAAACTAGATGGACTGGGGCAGGGAAAAGTATTCTAAATTCAGGGGAAACTGTTTTGTTCTCAGGACACACAGAGGAAAATTCGCCCCACAGTGAAGGAGTGGCCCTGATGCTATTAAAAGAAGCAGACAGGGCACTAAAAGAATGGGAAGCTGTGAGTCCCAGAATAATGAGAGCATTCTTTAGAACAGTGAAACAGAAGGTGAACATGTCGGTAATTCAGTGTTACGCACCAACAAATGATAAAGATGCATCTGTTAAGGAAGAATTTTACATGCAGCTTCAAAACATTAAAAATAATGAAAGAAAGGGCAACTTCAAAAGTTTGATGGGTGACTTGAATGCTAAGATAGGATCAGACAACACAGGTTATGAAGAAATTATGGGAAAACATGGTCTAGGAGTAATGAATGAAAACGGAGAATTGTTCTTGGAAGTTCTTGGCAAGAAAGAAAGGAAACATAAAGCTTGGATAACACCAGAAACCATTAAACTGATTGAAGATAGAAAAAGAAAAAAGGCAGACTTAAACAATAGCAAAACTAGAGCTGCTAAAGCTAGAGCTCAGGAGAAATACACATAAGCCAACAAGGAAGTTAGGAGGCATATAAGGGCAGATCAAGTGAAATATCTAAATGATCTAGCAGAAGAAGCGGAGACAGCAGCAGCAAAAGGAAACCTCAGAGAACTTCACAGTACCACAAGAAAATTAGTAGGTAAATATAGTCAGCCAACTGGATCAATCAAAAATGGTCAAGGAAAGGTACTTACTAACACTAAAGATCAAATATACAGATGGGTTGAATATTTTGAGATGCTTCTAAATAGACCAGGCCCAGAGGTTCCCACAGATATCCAGCCTTTAGAAATGGAACTGGATATCAACTGTGAGATACCATCCAAAGAGGAAATTAGAAAAGCTATAAATCTTCTCAAGGAAGGAAAGGCGACAGGCCCAGATGGTATCCCAGCTGAAGCCATCAGGGCCAACATAAACACATCAACAGAACTGCTACATAGATTATTCAGTAAAGTCTAGGAGACGGAAGAATACAAGCAGACTGTGGAGTAGGATATCCTGTGAAACTGCCAAAAAAGGTGATCTACAGGAGTGTGAAAACTATAGAGGAATTATGTTGCTGTCAGTTCCGGGAAAAATATTAAGTAGAATAATTTTGGAAAGATTAAAAGATGCTATTGTTAAAATGCTAAGAGATGAGCAGGCAGGTTTTCGGTCAAACAGATCCTGTACTGACCAGATAGTCACATTACGTATTATAATTTAGCAAAGCATTGGAACTGAACTCACCAATTTACATTGGATTTATAGACTGCAGGTGTCCGACAGGGATGTCTTTTGTCGCCTCTCATTTTTACTGGCTATAGACTGGACTATGAAAACAGTAACTGCTAACACCAAGAATGGAATTCAGAGGACCCCTACAAAACAGCTTGACGATCTGGACTTAGCTGATGATATTGCTCTTCTGTCCCATTCACGGAATCAGATGCAAGATAAATTAAATATACTTGATGCGAGATTACAGCAGCTTGGTCGGAAAATCCATAAAGGAAAGACAAAGATAATGAGAATAAATCAGGCAAATAGTAATGTGGTTTCTCTTATGGCACCCCACTCCAAGACGTGGAGTCGTACACCTATTTAGGCAGTAATGTAGATAAAGATGGAGGAACTGAAAAAGATATTAAAAAAGAAAAAAGGCAAGAGGGGCTTTCATAGCACTAGGGAATTTGTGGAGGTCAAAAGAAATTAAAAAATATACTAAACTAAAAATGTTTAATTCTAATGTCAAATGAGTACTATTGTATGGGACGGAAACATTGAGAACAACCAAGGCAATTACTAATAAATTAGACATTCATTAACTGGTGCCTGCGCAGAATAGAGGGAATTAAATGGTATGATAGAATAACTAATGTAGAACTTAGGGAGAGAACTAAACAGGCTCCAGTGGACCAAGAGGTGAGGAAAAGACGCTGGTGTTGGATAGGACACACACTGAGAAAACAGGAGAACAGCATAACTAGAATGTCTTTGCATTGGAAACCACGTGTGCATAGGAATAAAGGAAGGTTAAAAAAAACACATGGAGAAGAGAGCTGGAGAATGAAGTTAGAAAGATGGGGAGGACATGGGGAGAGCTCTATGCAATGGCGAAGGATAAAAGCGACTTGGCGTGAGTTGGTTGAGGGCCTATGCTCCATTTAGGGATAGAAAGGCAGAAGAAGAAGAAGTAGAAGAAGAAATAAGATGGCAGAAATACGGCTAAACATTGAATGCTAACCAAACCAAAGTGCTTCTGAAAGAAAGTAAAATATATGAGAGGTTGGAACGAACATTATGACCCAACAGAAATTATAAATGACGAGACGGGAGTTACATCGTATAGTTTACTGACACTATACATTAGATCTTCATCAGGTGCCTTGCCGACTGGCGTGGGCGATCATGCCTCTTCACAACCCGCGATCTCCTGCAGCATGTATCAGTTCGTGTGCTGACACACCTCCATGCCATGCAACAAGACTGTCAAGAATATTCTCTGGTTGTCTCCCTCTATCCCTCTTGGTTGCTCTTTTTGGCTGTCCAGGGTATTTTAAGCATTATTCTATAAAACCACATCTCTGAGGCCTTGAGAAATCTGAGGCCTGCCTACCGATTGTTCAGGATTCACAGACATATGTTAAAACTGGATGTTTGTAGCAAGCAAGAATTATTTTTCTGACCTTTAGTGACAGAGATATATTACATAAGATGTTCTTAAGAATTAAATAATTATATGAAAAATGCAGCTAGAATTGTATGCCACGAATAATAAGAGCGAAGGGCTTCGTTCATAATTTTAAACCAAAGATTACCTAGTATATGTATATTTAACAAATCACATGTGTGCAGATAACAGTTTATACATTCGACAGTGCAAGTCGATTATTAGATTTAGGTTTTGAGGCCCATTTGAATGCTAAGATACAAAGAATATATAGAACGATAAAATCGAGGCCTTACTTCCTGTGCCCTTGCTCCAGTGCCGGTGCAAGAGTTCCCGCCACAAAACCCACATCTGCACTGCTGTGTGAGATAAAGGCATCAAACACCTTGGAGCCGGCGTCTTCTTTGTCCAGTTTTGCCTGAAACATTAAGTGGGTTTTTGTCGTTTAATTAGGTCAGTATGTCCCTCACCTACCAGTAACGAGCCTTCACTGGGTGCAGCGCCCTGGTGCAGCTAAACGGTTTTGCATGATGCAGTGTCAAAGAATAGATTATTTTTCAAAAAATTATCACATTTTACAGACAAAGATAAACAGTATACGAAGAGGGGTTTTCTGTTTATTGTAATAATCATGTTAAAAGCATGAAAAGTGTTTTTATTTTCAGTATTATTTATTAAATTGCAGAGTAAAAGTCAACGTGGTTTGCAGGTCGACATCCTGATTTTTCCTCGCAAATTCTAAATTCGACCTATTTCTTTCTAAAGCTTTTATTCCCGCCCTATAATTCGACCCCTAGTTTTTAAAATATATTTAGACTTGAAAACTCAGCTTATACACCGCAATGTAGGGTTTGTCCAGTGCATCGTTTGAAGTGTTAGTTGTCCATGAACCCTTCTTCCTTTTAAGGTGCCCTAACTGGAAGAGAGTCGGCTCTGTGGCTAAGTCGATGCGAACGCTTCGCTTCGTAATGCCGTGATGCCAGGTTCGATCCCAGCTGCGGGCAATGCGCCTTGCGTTGGTTTCGACGTTGGTATCAAGAAAGCCGACCGTCCAGTAAGCAATGGCAAACTACTGGATGTAAATTGCCTAGAGAAACCACACAACAGCCAGGGGCTGTTAGGGTTGGTTCTGCAACGTCCTGTAAAGGATAAGCAACTAACTTAATCTGGAAGAGACTGGCGACATCTCCATCCACTCCGTCAATCGGTATGTCGAAGAAATTTGTTTTGATAATATCATTACATGTTACTGTTCTGTTTACACTTTCTCATTTTCTAGTCTGCCTATGTAACTGAGTATTTTCCTCCACAAAGGGCTTATGCATGTTACTGAAATAAAATAAAAGTGTCCATCGATCAGGTACCGTCTCCACAGTGAAGGTTGGCGGCAGTGAATCTCCAACAGGCTCTATCTCTTGTTCTGGTCGTACACTATCTCAGAGTGCCGTTCTTCTGTCTCTTGTAGTTGTCCTCAAACTTGTTGTCTACCTCTTGCTCTCTTGCCCTTGATCTTTTTTTTTTCAGTATGGCCTTTAAAGAGTGTTTTGTCTTTTAATGTGGCCAAAAGACTTAATTTCTTTCAGCCACTTTCATTTTTCTTTTTATTCACAGTCTCTCCACGCCGTCTGTATGTGATTGTTTGTTTCCATGAAATACGACCTTTTCTTCTGTATATACACATTTTCGAAGACCCAATTCGATTTTCTAGTTGCCTGTTCATTGTCAAAATTTCTGCAGCAGGGTTGAGTATAAACAACAAATGATTATTCTCAGTTTTAATATGTTATTAATCTCTCTTTTAAAAAACTGCCAGTTAATGCCTTTATTATACCACTTTTGCGGTATTTATGGTAGCACGGCTAGTCCTGTCGCCACGGACTGTGCAGTAGGCCTGAGAATTTACCGCAGCATAGCTAGTGCTGTCGCCACGGACTGTGCAGGTGATTGTTTTTGTCCCCGACAGAAAGAAAAAAAATCCATAACCTTAGCAAGGATTCGAAACCGTGTCTCATTAATCTCTCTAGCTGTCAATAATCGACGCATCCTATTGAAAATAGTTTTGACCATTCCTTTTCTCATTTTGATTTCCTTTTGGCTTTCCGCCATCATATATTATTGCATGTCCCTGATAGGTATAGCGTGTTGCTTGATATAATGTCTCCCTGTTTCCTGTGAGGTTTACTGTTGGTGTCTACTTTCCATTGTTAATTATCATAGTTGCTCTGCACTTTGCCTGTTGACTTGATCCACCAAATCATGTAACTCCTGCTCACTTTCTGCTAGTAACATTGTACCATCTGAAAATTTCAGATTGTTTTATTTTCTGACTCAATTACTATTCAGTCCAGACAATTCTCCAATAATTGATTTTATCATTTTATTTTTCAGGATCTGCGGTTTTTCCATATTTAATATATGTTTAAATCATCCCCACTTCAGGCATTTAAATGTTTTTTTATATGGAGAAGTTTGTTCAGTTTTTGGTTTGTTCCAAAATAGGTCCTCTGGGTAATTATTTCACCACGTAATTATATCATTCTTATCAACTACAATAGTATGCTAGTATGTTTCACAAGCTGCCAGACAGAACCGTTACAAATAACTAAACAGCGCACAAACAAACCAGCTAGAAAGACGGGGTATCTTACCTTTTTATCGAGGACTCGAACTCCAGTCTTGACGAAAACCCAGGCCTGAATCTCACGACGTTTCCACAATACAAAGATCACAGCAAACGCCACCAGGAAAAGTGAGATAGTGATAACGATAAGTGCTATGAACCCGGGTTGTAAACCTGAGTTGGCTACCGGTATCAAAATACTGGAATTTGATACAATCGGTCTACAGTAATCTTCGTAATTGAAACGAAGCAGGGAGAAACATGATTTACTCAAATTAGAAGAAGTGGGTAATTTGATTTCATCAGAAAGCATACCCACTGAGTCTTCTCTTGCGGACCCGACAGTAGAAATCGTAGCACTCTCATTAGCTCCTGGACTTGTTTGACTGTGCACATCTGTGTCAGATAAGTTGTGGTGCGTGTCATTGTAAACAAGGCAACACAGTTTGTCGTCATCTTTGATTACCTGGCTAAGTTTGTAGATGACTCTAAGTGTGACCTTGATGACGTTGCAATCACATGACCAAGGGTTACCGGACAAGGTCAGTGACAACTGATGTGGTAGCTGAGGTACCGAAGTGAGCAGTACTAACTTGTTGTTATGCAAGGTTATTGTCTCAATAGATGGCAGAGATGAAAAAGCCACAGGGGATACACTGTTAATCAAATTATTATGTAAGTAGATTTCTTTTAACTCGCTGATGTTTCCAAAGAGGTTTTCCGGAATTGTCGTTAGTAAATTATCATTTAGCAATAGTATCTTCAGTTTGGGGATATCATCAAAAGTTCCCATGTCGATAGACTGAATAGCACTGTTATTTAGGTAGAGTTCCTCAGTTTCTCGAAAATAACTAAAATTCTGCTTTGACAAGTGACTCAGTTTGTTTCCGTCTAAATACAGCAACGCAGTTGTCGAAGGTATCCCGTAAGGCACTTGGCGCAGATTTGAATTGCTGCACAGGATGCTTATATAAATCCTCGTAAACCCGGAACCTCCTTCGATACACTTGCACTCACTGGGGCAAGTCACCAGGCAATCACATGAAGTGTTCTGATAGCAGCAGTCGCAGTTGAAACCACACAATGTTTCTGTATAGTCGCACACAAACTGGCTCAAGGGAACTTGTGTAAACGGTCGAAATACCTCACCCCAGTAAGGCGTGTAGCAATAGGAATTGTCCAGGCCTATAAACTGGGGATAATACATTGCAAACACGGGAAATGAAGTTGCATTTTCAGCTATTATCTTCAGGTAGCTCAACTGGCAGTCGCACAAGAGGACGTTTCCTTCAATGTGGAGAGTTGGTTTTGGAGCATTTGTTTTGAAAACATTGACTACGTTCAGAGGGATGGACAAGACGACAGCGTTACCCCTTAATGAAAGGTAGCTTAACCGACTGAGACCTTCGAAAGTTCCGTGATCTATTACTTGTATGTTGTTTCTGTCTAAAAATAATGTCACGATAGACGAAGGAAAAGTGTTTGCTTGTAACCTGGTAATGTTGTTTGAATTCAGCATCAAATACTGCAAATTTCTCAAGCTAATAAATGGCGACTCTACAATAAAATTTGTCAGCTGGTTGTTGTCTAATGTAAGGATGGCCAACTTCGGATGCGTACCTAGTGATCCAAGGTCGGATATCTGGTTGTTATGAAGATATACTTGTAGAAGACTTGGACATTCTATGAAGAGATTTGGTGGAATGACTTTTAACTTATTGTCATTCATGAGTAACGATCCCAGTCTGTCTAATCCCGCTAGCTGTCGTGGCTCAAGTGTTGAAAGTTGGTTGTTGCTAACCTCCAGAGTGTAAAGTCCAGTCATGTATGAGAGCTCCGGTAGCGAGTTTATTCGATTACCACTCAGGTATAAATACATCATAGAGGAGAGATCTTTAAATAGTGTTGAAGGGAGATAAGAAAGCAAATTATTTTTCAGATCTAAGTAGGACAACTCATTAAGACTACTGAAAGTACCATTCTCCAAACGCTCTAAACGGTTACCAGCAAAGTCTATAGCGACTATATGATGGTTGTTTTGAAATAAATCGGAAGGCAGCGTTTGAATTTGGTTGTCAGAGAAGTTTACTAGCAATAAATTAAGTTGGTTCGTGAATGTCAGGCTGCTCAAATGGGAAATTCTGTTTTTAGACAAATGCAGATTTCGTAAAGTGGGAAGTGCTCCAATGTCTACTGTGGTCAGACTATTGTTGATCAAGTTCAGCCTGGCCAGCACGGTAGAGTTTTTTTTTTTTTTTCCCTTTATCTGACTCTTGCCAGACTGCATCCGTGACGCTAAAGCTGTTGAGTGCAAGCTCCTCCAGGTTGACTAAGTTCGACAGTCCATCGCAGCTCAGGGGAGTCCCCCTGTGCCTTGTAAGCGCAGATCTTTCATGTTTGTTGCGAAACCGAGGCTAAAAAAATTAACATTATTTAGGGGTATAATATCAATAAAATGGAACAATTCAACCAATCTTGTCTATTTTTAAAACTTTAAGTAATATTACTAGACCCAACATGTATTTTTTTAATTAAATTGTTACTAAATTAATAGACAAGTCATACCTCTTAAATCAATGTTATAACATACATCAGTCATATCTCTTCTTTGAATTTTGTTGGGACCTAGACTATTTGGTGGTTTCTGGACCCATAGGGGTCCGTGATATCATTTACAGGTTAGTTGCATATCCTTACAGGACTTTGCAGAACTAACGCCAACAGCCCCTGGCTGTTGTGTGGTTTTTTTCTAGGCAAATTTACGTCCAGTAGTTTGCCATTGCTTCCTGGACGGTCGTCTTTCTTGATACTACTGTCGAAACCAACGCAAGGCGCATGGCCCGCAGCTGGGATCAAACCCGGCATCCCGGCATTACGAAGCGTTCGCATCGACTTAGCCACAGAGCCGACTTTATAATTTACAACACACGCAAAATGCCCCAACCTTCCCACCTCTTTTTCTTGTCGAGATTCTAATATAGATTTAAAGTTTTATATCGGGTCAAGAACAATTCGGCCCTCGAACACAATATCCGGACAAATGTTGACTCTACCTACGAACAGTGCCTCAGTGCATTGTTTGTTTGTTTTAGTATCCAGAAGCCATGAGTTGTTAACCGTTAGGCTCGGTATTATGGATATCGCAACCTTTCGGCCTTGATTCCATTGTAAATACCATAAATCTGGGAGAAAATGTGGCTTTCCTGCCTACCCCCGGGATTAAACCCGGACCACAATTATTATCTGTGTCTTGTTTTCGTAAAGAAATATATTATGGTGTGTGTGTGTGTGTGTGTGTGTGTGTGTGTGTGTGTGTGTGTGTGTGTAATTACGCCCACTTGTACTTAATATAAACCGCCGGATTTTGCTTTCCACTCACTAAATCCTATTGGAATAGAAGCGATACAGAGTTTTAACAAATAACAGACAGGCGTGTAGGCGGTGTATGTGTGAGTGAGAGAGATATAGAGAAAGGGGGGTGGGGGGGGGGTGATTCAGAGAAAGTCAAGGGAAAAGAGGCAGGTTGGCAGATAGACAAATAGGCAGCGAGATAGACAGATGGGTAGGTAGTCCAGTTAAAAATAAACATAAGATCAGCTAAGCAACACAATATTACCTATGGAAGTCTACAACCTGTAGAGGGTTCTGCCCAGCATCCAAAAAAATCAGATCTTTGAGGCGAATACTTTCTGGGATCACAAAATGAGTCAAAGACAAGCCAGTGAGGTAAAGCTCCTGGAGGTACGGTGTTCTTTCCAGTAGACTGACAGGCAATGAGCTCATAGTGTTAAAACTCAGATCAAGCATCCTCAGTTCCGTGAAATCATTTCTTTTCGAGGAGTCGGTCGAGTCTCTTTCTGAGAGATTCGTTCCCTTACGGGGAGCATCTTCTGAGAGATTCATTTCATAGCCGGAAGCAATTTTGGTGAGATTCGCTTCCTTACCGGAAGCACTTTGTGATGCGACCTCGATATGGTTAATTTTGTTATGGGAAACATTGAGAGATATTAAAGATTTCAAATGGGAAATGTCCGGTAATATGCTTATGTTACAATAGACGATACATATATGTTGAAGATTTGGCACGTGCATAAATGTGTCTTCGTGAAATGTCGGCAGAACGCTTTCGTATATAGATAGGTTTGTCAATGACGCTAATCCCCGGAAAGATTCTGCAGAGAGGGTGACGATGTTGCACTGTTCAACAATTAGTGATGACAAATTAGAAAATTTTTCAAAGATGCCCACAGGAAGGAAGCTCAGCCAACTAGGGCTGCTGCAAGTTAAGGTCAGCGATCGGACTCCGGCGGGCAGTGCTGTTATGGTGTCATCGGATGAAGAGATGGAGCTGACTAAACATGTGACGTCGTTGTAGGGCGCATAAGAGTTTCTGCTGCATTGGCATTGGTTAATCCAGCAAGCGTCATCGGCATCCTCTGACACGGACTGTACAGCACAAGCGGCTGCGATCAGCAGAAGGGAGATATGTTTCATTGTTAATAGAAGATGGCTGTTGAGAAAGGATTAACAGATTAGGAAACAAATCAAAAACAAAACAAAAAACAAAAAAAAAAAACTTGTATGAAAACTAAAACATGAGATATTGAGCTTAAATGTTACAGCAATCATGAATCAAAAAAAGGTAAATCGTTGACAATCTTCGTTAAATAAATATCATACACCTTCGGCATCTTTTCCCTGAGATTAAACGAAAGAATTAATCGACTATTGTCCGCCTCAGCATATTACTTTCCCATGTTATGATCAAACAAGGTATTCAACTATATAATGTCTACCTGTCACACTACTGTGCTTACATCAAGTATCAAACTGCATTTTGTTCTACTACAACATTACTCTCCTATACTCAAATGATATATAATAATGGATTTTGCCAGACTGTCTCTTTACTTTCCCGAAATCAAAAGGCAAAATTAATTCAGTTATGCCTGTCCGTCAGATTACTTTCTGACGATTAAACAATACCATAACTGAATCTGCAAGCACATCTGTTTTTCCAAGATACAATGCAACAATTAACTGGATCGTGTCCGCTGAGCATCATTATTAACCAAGAATATGGATCGTGTCCGCTGAGCATCATTATTAACCAAGAATATGGATCGTGTCCGCTGAGCATCATTATTAACCAAGAATATGGATCGTGTCCGCTGAGCATCATTATTAACCAAGAAATATGGATCGTGTCCGCTGAGCATCATTATTAACCAAGAATATGGATCGTGTCCGCTGAGCATCATTATTAAACCAAGAATATGGATCGTGTGCGCTGAGCATCATTATTAACCAAGAATATGGATCGTGTCCGCTGAGCATCATTATTAACCAAGAATATGGATCGAGTCCGCTGAGCATCATTATTAACCAAGAATATGGATCGTGTCCGCTGAGCATCATTATTAACCAAGAATATGGATCGTTGTCCGCTGAGCATCATTATTAACCAAGAATATGGATCGTGTCCGCTGAGCATCATTATTAACCAAGAATATGGATCGTGTCCGCTGAGCATCATTATTAACCAAGAATATGGATCGTGTCCGCTGAGCATCATTATTAACCAAGAATATGGATCGTGTCCGCTGAGCATCATTATTAACCAAGAATATGGATCGTGTCCGCTGAGCATCATTATTAACCAAGAATATGGATCGTGTCCGCTGAGCATCATTATTAACCAAGAATATGGATCGTGTCCGCTGAGCATCATTATTAACCAAGAATATGGATCGTGTCCGCTGAGCATCATTATTAACCAAGAATATGGATCGTGTCCGCTGAGCATCATTATTAACCAAGAATATGGATCGTGTCCGCTGAGCATCATTATTAACCAAGAATATGGATCGTGTCCGCGGAGCATCATTATTAACAAGAATATGGATCGTGTCCGCTGAGCATCATTATTAACCAAGAATATGGATCGTGTCCGCTGAGCATCATTATTAACCAAGAATATGGATCGTGTCCGCTGAGCATCATTATTAACCAAGAATATGGATCGTGTCCGCGGAGCATCATTATTAACCAAGAATAACTTTACGAGCAGCAAAAAAGCTAGACATATGTTAGAGCTACATATCAACTTTAAGAAATCAGAGACCACATTTGGGTCAACTATGTTATTAAGTAATTGGGACTAGAAACACTCAGACCCTTTAATATATTTATATTTTATTTTTTTTTCAACTTTTTTTTTAATGGTTTCTGTTTCAGTTATGTATTTCATGCATGTATTTTTAAAGCAATAATTTTTGAGGAAAATTACTGTTTTTTTTCTGTTTTTTTTTTTTTCTTTAACATTCCGAGCCCTTGAAATTTATTGCTGAAGATAATAGTAATAATAAAGCTTCCATTCATATCTCTGATTGGTTTTCTCTTTTCAGTTGGAGATTCTAAGCTGTGTATGTCTGCATGTATTTATCTCTCCACCGTCCCCTTGATCTGGCTCGTGGTCTATTGTCGTTCAATTTCTTTGTGTGCGTAGTTTTTGTCTCTCTGTTATCTGAATTTCTCTGTGTATACCCTATGCGTTAACAATTGCAGTTTTCTACGTTAAACTTCAATGATTAATAACAAATTTTAAAGTAGAAGCATTCTGTAGTAAATATTTTTTTAAGCCATGTTTTTTTTTTTTTTTAAGATTTAAACAACTTCGTACCCAGACTTGGGATTGAACTATCAGAGACGACACGACAATCTAACCTACTGCAGCTTCCGTGCTCCACAAATGTTGTAACATCAATTCGTTTAGGCTAATATATACACCACCAGATCCACTGGCTGATATGATATATCTGTGGCTTTAAGCGCAGGATAATCCAGTCCAGCTTTTGTGGATGTCCTGTGTAAAGCTGACATAATGCCGGAGATATAGTCTCTTCTGTTATTCGTGGAAGCGTTAACAGGATACGAGAATGCTTGATGTTGTTTGGATTGTTTCACTGATCCTGTGGGAGATAACACATTTCATGGACTTTTTTTTAATCTTGTTTCGATGAATGTTTGAGAATATCTTAGTGTATATAGTTGTATCAATATGTTTAGTTTGGTTTTTGTTATATGCTGTACCAAATACAACACATGACGGCAACATGTCTAGTCAATAAAAATACTGGTGAAAACCAAACTAAACCGGTCGCTGAGCGAGTAACCAAAACTGTGAAGCTCATAATAAAGACATCATTGCAGATATAGATGATGATGATGGCATATGAAGAAGAAGAGAAGAAGAAGAAGAAGAAGAAGAAGAAGAAGAATACAGAAGAAGAAGAAGAAGAAGAAGAAGAAGAGAAGAAGAATAAGAATAACAAGAACAAGAACAAGACAAGAACAAGAAGAACAAGAAGAAAAGGAAGAAACAAGAACAAGAACAAAACAAGAAGAAGAAGAAGAAGAAGAAGAAGAAGAAGAAGAAGAAAGAAGAATAAGAAGAAGAAGAAGAAGAAGAAGAAGAAGAAGAAAGAAGAAGAAGAAAGAAGAAGAAGAAGAAGAAGAAGAGAAGAAGAAGAAGAAGAAGAAGAAGAAGAAGAAGAAGAAGAAGAAGAAAAAGAAGAAGAAGAAGAAGAAGAAGAAGAAGAAGAAGAAGAAGAAGAAGAAGAAGAAGAAGAAGAAGAAGAAGAAGAAGAAGAAGAAGAAGTTGTTACATAGGTCATTATAGTTATTATATATATGAGGTGGAAGTAATAAGTTTTAAGTTTCTGCCGTTTTTGTGGTTTTAGACTGACAGCATCGGCAGGATAATTAGCAGTAGCAGCAGTAACTGCAGCAACTGCAGTAGCAGCAGTAGTAGTGTTGTTGGTAGTGATGGATTAGTAGGATAGAATTTAGAAACTGACTGACTGACTGACTTTTTACCCCACCAGGACATTACACTGAGAGATAATCACCCGGTGTCACAAAGTGCCACTATTTGGATAAGGATCATACGTGAAGAGGTCTCAGCAACCCCGTTTAACCATTAGATTATATCAGGGCTCCCGGTAAAAGTCAGGGTGGGGCTTCAAAATAACGAAAAATCGTATCCCACAAGGGACGAAGCAGATATTATAGATTTAGAGACATTTCTGCAATTTTTTCTTCATCAAAATTGTGTAAGTCCTTACCACTGTACATACATAATTAGCATGTAAGGTGTGTGTGTTTAAAAAAATTTTTTATTGTGTTTTAATTTCTTTCGATCAAGTTTATAGGAATAAATTATGAAAGGTACTACATGAAAACGGAGTAAACGAACACCTTATTAAATTGTGCAATAGTATATATGTGAACAGTCAATGCGCAGTTAGAACAAATACAGGAATGTCAGAAAAGTTATACATTAGATCTGGAGTGAGACAGGGGTGAGTTCTATCACCACTACTGTTCATCACATACACTAAGTTTGCATATCAACTGACACCAGCAAAGGGGACAACACTGGAGAATTACTAAATGAATCTCTTTTCGCCGATGACCAGGCAATCATAGCACCAACTACAAGTACAACTACAAGAACATATTAATAGACTCATTCAGAATACGACAACTACGATATGAAGATCAACGTAGACAAAACAGAAGTGATAACATTCTCCAGAAAAGGAAGAACCACCAGTTCTTGAACTGATGAATACCAGTTAAAGCAGGCGAATTAATTTACATAGCTGGAGAGCATTTGTTTTTTAAAAGACGGACGAATTAATAAAGAAATCCAACAAAGAGGCAATAAAGCCAATCAAGTTTTAGGCCAAATGGCACTAATTTCGAAATGCAAGCATGTGAATATGAGCACCAAAAGAACACTGTTCAACGCATTATTCTTACCAACGCTCCGCTATCAGTGTCAAACTGATAATGAAATATTTACCTACTTTACTAGGTGTAACGAGGAAAGATTGACTTAGGAACGATGATATCAGGAGGAGGGTCGGCACAGAACCAATACTGAACTTTATAGCTAGACAGCATATCAAATGGTTTGGCCATGTAACAAGACGTATCAGACAGGGCACCCCTGAAAGTAACGTTATGCAGTTACAGCAGTAACAGAGCCATAGGTCGACCACGCAAAATATGGACTGCACAAATATCAGAGACGCTCAAAAGTACTATATACAAAGCGAACAGAAGGGCCCGTTCCAGAGATTTCTTCTTATCCTGGCGCCGCAAGGCATTCCAGGAGTAAAGAAAAGAAAAAAAAATTCTTCAGCGTCAATCATTGTTTATCGTCCAAGATTCTGTATATTGTCCGTTTAATAACTTCTTTGTCAAAGCTATGCATTTTCTTTTGTTTTCCTCGGTCAAAAGTGGTATATTTAGAAATAATTGACTTTTCTCTAGCCCATCTTGCGAATGTCCGATCTGTAATATCAAGGGCATGTTTTGTTCTTTTCTCTGGGTTTGAAATAGAATGATACTGACAACCGCGGTCAGTCTCAAATAAGAAATATACTTTCAACGTAGCAGTTGTGGTCTAATTCAGAATTTACAAA